ATCGAATACGCCGAGCCAGCCCACTTCGAGGATCTGAACTCTTACGACGTTGATGACGAGAAAGGGGTGACCTCTGTGTCAACGAAGGTTCCAGGTGGCGTCGCGGGCTTTTGTTTTCCAAAAATCCACTTGGTACTGTACCTTGGCTCAAGAGGCTCAAGCGTTGGTCCGTGCCACTTTTTCCGACACATATTGGCTCAACCTCCCACCCCTTCCCACCACGTACTTTGACTTCTTCCGAAGTCCGATTCAGAAAGAAAGACCTCAGTCGGACAGCACTGGACTCTCAGGTCTCCCAGATTTGAGGTGATGAGGGGGGCCCCCTCTATCCTGCGTCACCCGAACGCCGGTTCAAGCGCCTGTGCGAGCACCATGCCCAACCTGAGAGAAAACGAACGAACGGGCCAGGCCGGTGTGTAGTGGGCCAAACAGCATGCCGGTTGCATGTGGTTGCATGGGCGGAATGGTGCAGGCTAAGGAGCCGCGAAAGTACATCTACAACACATCCTGGCGGGACTTACCAGCTCGGAATCGGCCCCCCCCATGTGATGTCCGACTTGGGTGGGGGAGAATAGAAGACCCATCTTGAAGTAGTTCATTGAGATCTGGACCGCTCCAAAGGCGCCCGATCCAACACCTGATCAGTCTGGCCCAAAACATGCCCAAAAGAGAACCAACAACACGTCCGCCCACACCCCCACGTCACCCTCCGCCCACGTCCGTCCCAACTAGGCTCAACCCGGCCGAGGGCAAGTCGGCGGCACCCGACACACCTCCCTCGCAGAGGGGATGCACCTCGGCGTCGCAGAACCTTCCGGTCCTTCTGGAAGGGCTCTCCACCACTGTTCGTCGGTGCGCTCGGTCAGGCTCAGGTCACGGTGGATGGAATTGAGGTCCGAAATGGCTGGTCCCAAAAATGTGGTGCTTTCATGGGGGGGTCTTCGGAGGTCTTCAGATCTGAATCTTTCCACGGACACATGCCCGGATTCCTTCCAAGCCGGCCGAAAAGCGCTAAGCGCTCGGTTTCGGCCGGGGCCTTGTCGCTGCACCCACCGCGCTCGGGTACGGCTGCAGGGTTGATGGGTTGCAAGTCTGGCTTCGTCTTGGCCACTGGATCCATCTTGTCCGTCTGCACTCCAGGACCTGAAGGACCTCGAGGATCCTTCGTCTATAAGGCGTCGTTTCTGCGCACAGCGCCACCCGAATCGGAAGGATGTCACCAGTCATCAGAAATCGGAGTTCACACTTTGCGCCACTCTTTCCACAAGAGGAGCCGCGCCACACATGGCGGGCCCTTCGGCAGCCCACGAATGGCTCGGATCGAGGCATGACCCGCGAGACCTGGGTGTCCCCGACCGGACGAGCGCACCGTCGGCCGAGCGCCGAGCGGTGGAGAGGTGTCCAAAAGCCCCGACGCGAGTCGATCCCGACCGCCCTTCCAAGCGCTTGGACGTGGCGGGTTCCCGTGGCGCTCGGACGGCCAAGCGGGGAGTTCGGCTGGAGTTCGGAGTTCGCTCGCTGCGAGCGATGGAGTCATGGTATAGAGTGTGGAAGTAGTTCAACCAAAGATTCCAACAGTAGTTCAACCATGGAGTCATGGTAATCTTTTTTTTGGGGGGGGTCGTGTCACAGTTCAACACCACACAGATCCTGGATTCTGAGGTGGACCTTCCCAAGTCCCAACCCGCGGAAGCTTCTTGAAGAAGGACTGTCGGACCCCCGAAAACCCCTCCGGTGCGATGCCTTCTTCGGAGTGGGATCCCGACCCCAACCCCGACCCTCAATCCGACACGATCCCGGCGCGGTGGGTCGACGGTTTCCAAGTCACGCCCGGCGTAGTGGCACGAGAGAACCTCCCAGCAGAGGTGGGTCAGAACCCGAACTAGACTATCCCAGTTCGGTACCCCTGGTGACGGGTCCTAGTTCAAGTCACTGGCTACCTCGGTCCGCGGACGGTCAGCACGTCCCGGGTCCGGGTCAGGAGTCGAGGTCGGGGTCGAGCGAGTCGCCTGTGACCAGAGGTTCGAAGGTCTTACAGATCGAACTGTGGTGGTTTTGGACTTCGTTGACTTGGAATCCGAATGTACTCCAACTCCAAGTCCATCGGGTTGATTCAGCTTTAGCATGCTTTAGCTGTTGTTGGAAGTGCGAGTTTGTTGACTGTTGCCTCCAACAATCACACATTCTTGAGTGGCCGGCTGGAAGACTACGGTTCGTATCTTTTGGGCCTAGAAGCACGATGGGGGTGTCCACTTGGATTCCACCAACTGCTTCGAGGAGTTTTCGGCACTCAAGTGTTGAACCACCACGTGGGTGTCACGCGGCCCTTCGCTCGTGTTCTCTCATGTGGACGGATCGCTCCGTTTTACGTTGCTATATCGGGAATTCGTGGACCTTGCTTCGCCCACCGTCACTCTTTCTGCCCCTTCGCCCAATTTACGTCACTCTTCGTCTCCGAAACCCAACACGATCGTGAAGCAGTGGGAAAAAGGGGTGATGCGTTTCCAGCACCACAAGCGAAAATCCAACGGCGAAATTGGGACATGACAGTCGCTCTTAGATTCTGTCCAACAAGCTACAAGTAACACCCCCAGCATTTGGTCATGAAAATGCCATTGCGAAAGACCAAAGGAGGAACGGGGTGCCTCTTTGTGGTACCTCCTTCAAGGATTAAAAACCTTTGAAAGGAACCTTCTCATTCAAGTCCTGCCCTTACCTATTGATTTTGTACCAAGCTCTTCTCAACTTCAGCTCGGTTTCCGCACGCTGTGCTCGTCACGGCGTCCTTAGCAAGGAAAGCGGAGGTTCGTCTGGGTAGGAAAGCTTCTGCCCCTCTGGTGCTTCTCCGACCTGTCTCGCAAGTGAAAAAGAACCCGGGAACATCTTCAGCTGGACACATCTCTGGATCGACTCAGAAACAAACCGAGTCGACTTCACATGTCTGGGTCGATGTCTTCACACCCAAATCCGCTTCAAAAACATTTGGGGGAACATGCTTCCCGGAACTCACAGCTTGCGCCTTGCGCCCACTGAGACTCCCGCCGCCCGGGCTGCGGGCTGCCGGGCCGCTACAGGCCGTACGGCCTGGGCGGCACCGCAGGGCGAGAACCACGGAGTCTTTTTGGGGGAAGATGTTGAGGGGAGAGGTTTTTACGTGTTGACCCTTCCGGTTTTCAAGGTCAAGTGGTCTCAGACCGAGGCTTCCAGACGTACCCACCCAACCACCCACGGCTCCCAACTGCCCGGAAGCTCGCCTGCTGCGCGCTCCGCACGCCCCGCGACGTAGAGGCGGAGCGCGGTCGGGGACCTGGAGGAGCGCGGTCGGCAAAGAAGGCGCCGAAACGGCAAAGCCGAAATGAAATGTACCTAGAGCCTGAGTGACCTCTATTTTGGAGTATCTATCTATCTATCTATCTATCTACCTGGACCCCCAGGGTGGTTAATGGACACCCCGAATCACAGCTAAGGGTCTATAAATAGACACCCCGACAGGAGGGTCCTGGTATCTATCAATCTACCATAATCTACCTAGAGTCCAATGCCAAGCTCTGATGTGTCTTTTTGAACAGTGGTTTGAGTCTGAGTAGTAGATGGTGCCAGTCCTCAAGTGCACCAGGTCGAAAAATGGACCTCTTTGGGGTCCTGGGCGTACCCCAGCCCTGTGTGTCCGGTCGTCTTCGTCGCGTCGGATGCGAAACGAGTCCGAAGGCCTGGTGCATGGCCTCTGTGTTCGCATCACATCGGGAGTCCAACATGTGGTAAGCACTCATATGGAGGGTCTGGGGTCGAACCAATCCGTAAGTTTTGAGGGACCTGTCGGGCGTCGTTCACGGAGCGTTCTGGGCAGATAGAACTCAATCGGTGCTCACTTCGCGTCACATGATCCGTCGCGCGTCACGGCCGATGTACCAACTGCTGGGAATGTCGGACCTCCAAATCCTCTCATCTCAAACGTCCGGCCCCCCCCAAAGTTTGATGGCCTGCACATCACAGGTTCCACCATCTACAGGTTTCACCATCTCTTGTCGAAATCTTGGAGAACTCTCGGCTGGTCACGTGACTTCGCTCCGCGCTAGACGGCGAAAACCGGCCTAAAGAGGCTTCCGGAGAGATGGCCTCCAGGCGCGTGGAAGGGGCAGGGGCCGCAGGGCAGGGGAGGAGAGGCATTGACTCGTGGTGCAAAGAGTAGATGGCAGCCCAAAGATGTCTATATTAGATGGAGGTCCTTATAGATTACCTCTTCGTGCTTGCGCCATCACTCTGAAACCACTGTAGGGAGATGTTCGTACTTTGAAACCTCCCCCACTGGATGGAGGGTCTAGAGGTGCAGGTCGACCTGCAGGAGTTGAAGCACTGGACGCGTGACTTGTGGCACGTGACTTGTCGTTGGATATGTGACTTGGATGCTCCTCTTGCTCCAAGTTCATATTAGTGGCCTTGTGACATTGTGTCCACGAACGGAAACCATCAAGTGGGTCACTTTCACGGCTGGCTCCGGGAATGATTCTGCAGGTGCACAAATAGAGAAGTGTACCAAGTTTTCATGAAGGTTGGAGGTGCGATGACACGCACTAAAGTCAAGAAGTGTACCAACGAGGGGTGAATCTGAAGCCCTTTTTTGATCCAGCGGCAGAAAAGGTGCCGCGCTTTGACCTGCGGGTTATGAGCCCAACGTGTTGGTAGGGACGCGAAGTCCACCCAGGCGATACCGTGCAGGTACCCTGGTAGCTGGTCCCCATGGCGGCGCGGCCGGCGAGCTCGGCGGCAGCTGACGGCGCGGCTGGGACGCCTGAAGAAGGCTCCATGGAGAGTGCCAAGGAGGATGAAGTCCTGGCACTCGAAGATGCCAAGGATGCCTTGGTCCCGGCGTCAACGGCACTGGTCCAAGCACGAGGACCCCCGACCTCCTACGGCCCGCAAAGGCGGGGAGAGAATCTCCCGGAAAGGGGAAGGGAGATGGTTCGAAGATGGTGCCGGTCAACTCGTTCTGGAGTGAGCGGATGCAAGCGGAGGCTCGGCTGAGGGCAATGCGGCCTGCGGCACTACCGGACGGAGACGCTGGTGACGGGCCTCAACCTTCAGGACGGGTGGAGCCTGTGGATGAAGAGAGAGGGGTTTCAATGGACGTCAAGGAACTCCTCCGGGCAGTGATGGTTCAGAACGCCGCGCTGAAGAAAGAGTTGGGGGAGTTGAGGAAGGAGGTCAAGTCGTCAAGGGAGAAGGTGAAGGTAGAGGCCAGTGACCTTGCCCCGAAACCTCCTACATCGACTCCACCACCCTCACCTCCGAAGGATCCACCACCGTGTACCCCCGTGAGGGGAAGGATGGAAGCTTCGAATCAGGCATGGGCCGATGTGAAGATCCCGGACTTTCCCGAGACCGTGGAGGGGGACACTATGGGGAGAGGTGCCGCTCAACGAGGTTTGGGAGTACCTGACGTCCCTGGATCTTGGGGAGCTGGAGGGTGGGGTCTACAAGGCGTACATCCTCGAGGGCCAGATCGGGATGCCTCTGGGAATGGAGATGGAGTGAGGGAGCTGGTCAAAGGGTCACCCCTCGAACAGGCAGCCCAGACGGTGCTGAGACAGCTAGGCACCAGTTCCTCGGAGGGCCAATGGGCTGAGGCGATCAGGTCCGTGGAGCTGCCACCTCTTCAAGATCTTCGGGAAGGCGACTTGGGGTCAATCATCTTGGGAGATTGGATACAACTGGTGACCCCAACCATGAAGGACCTGAGCGCGACGAGCTGGAAATGGTGGGAAGAGGTGTTGAACTTTGCCATGATGGCTTATCGAGAGTGGCTGCAGGCGGAACCAGTTCAACGACTCTACATCCGACCTCGGGTCCCGGTTGAATGCTCTGGAGTGTGGAGTCGCCTCGAACAGAGGGGACAGCTGATGCTGATCAACGCCGTGCCTCAGAGCATCAAGGCGGAGATCCTGTCGAGCCGGACTACAAGCTCAGTGGAGGTGCTCTACGCCCTGTTCAGGCGCTATCAACCAGGAGGCCTGGCAGAACGCTCAAGACTCCTTCGACAGCTGGTGGAACCGAAGACGCCACAGACGATGAATGAGGTGGTCGAGGCACTGAGAGGATGGCGACGGAGTCTGAGACGGGCGCAGGAGTTGGAGATAGCCACCCCGGACGCCACGTTGCTGTTGGGGGCATTAGATCGGATGTCGGATCTGATTGGAAGGACATCAAGTCAGGTTGCATTTCGAATGTCCTCGACGAGAGCTGCACTGGGTGTGGACGTGACCCCGAACCTGGAGACGGTTTTGAGCTTCTCAGATATGCTCACGGCGGAGGCAGAGTCCCTGGTGATCAGTGAGCTGCAGCCGACGTCGGAAGTCAAGGCTTCGCCTATTGCCACCAAGGTCAAGGCCATGACCGCGACGGCCGATGAGAAGGGGGAGAAAGGCAGCGGCAAGGCCAAGAGCGAGGGAAAGACTGAGGAGAAGATCTGCCGTTTTTGGGGCTCCGAGGACGGGTGCAGGAAGGGCCAGGAGTGCCGGTTCAAGCACGACTGGAGCAACATGGAAAAGAAGGGCAGGTGCTTTGGGTGCTCATCGACGAAGCATACCAAGAAGGAGTGCCCGACGGTCAAGTCGAAGGCCGACACCGAGAAGCACGTGAAGACCTTCAAGAAGGAAGGGGACAAGGGGATTGGAACCAAAAAGATTGAGCGGGAGATGGTCGAGGAGAGCCCCCCCCGCTGCGAGTGAGGATGTGGTGGACGAGAAGAAGGTCGAGAGGCCAGCCGCCAGCTCGGGGGAGGTCCAGGCCTTGCTCACGGAAGCCACGACGCTGCTGAAGAGTTTGAGGCCGGCCACTGAGGGAAGCAAGGCCATCAAGTCCATCAAGCTGAGCAGTTTGGAGGTCAGAACCAATGATCGGGCCCTCTTAGATGGAGGGGCGACACACTGTCTCCGGCGAGCTGAGTCCGAGGAGGAATGGCAGCGAGCTCAGGAAGTCCGAGTTGAACTCGCGGAGGGTTCAGTGCTGCTGAGACAGATTCCCTGGACGAAGACCCTGCTCACACAGAATGAGGTCCAGACGATAGTACCGCTTGGGGTGCTGATCTCGTTGGGCTATGAGGCATACTGGGAGAAGGACCGGTTCACCCTCACGGACTCGAGTGGTGCGCTCCTGGACGTGGCGGTGGAGGGGATGTGCCCGACTGTGGATGAAGGACTGGGGCGCGAGCTCATCAGGGAGATCGAACGCAGCATGGTCAGAGAGCGGGCTCGCCTAGCAGTCCTAAGTGGAGAAGAGAACCAGGGTGGTTTGGAGTGGGGAGAAGTCCATCATCTTCGAGAGCTTCGTGAACTATTCCCTGAAGTTCCTCTTCGGCTACTGGTGAGGATTTTGCCAAAGGTCGGATGGACGGGGGAGACCCTTCCGTGGAACCGACATGAGCGGAGGAAGGTGAGGAGAGCGCGGGAAGTTGTGGTCCATCTCTTCAGCGGGGACACCAAGAAGTACTGGCAGAGGGAACTTGAGCATGTGGGCAGAGCCGTCCTGTGCGTGGATACGGTGATCGACCCGGGAATGAACATCCTCAGGGACGATGTCTTCGCCTATCTTCTGGAGATCGCCGATGGTGGCACACTACGAGCACTACTGGGTGGCCCGCCTTGCAGGACAATGAGCCGGTTGAGATATCGACAACCTGGACCTCCACCCCTCCGAGAAAGAGAAGGACCCGGAAGATTTGGCTTGCCGAACCTGGACCCGGTACTGAAGCAGCAGGTGGAGGATGACACCCTGCTGTGGTTGAGACAGGTTTATCTTCACCACAGGGCATCGAAGGCCGCCTCTCCAGAAAAGGTGGCCACCGCCTTGGAGCAGCCTGATGATCCGGAGGCCTACCTGGGGGAGTCCAAGAGGGAGATCGGTCGATCCGGGCACCAGACGACGGAGGAAGAGAACGGGGAGACAGACAGGCATCCTCGCTACCCGACATACTGGTCGTGGCCGGAGTGGCAGACAGTCAAGAAACTGTGGGACCTCTTTGAAGTGCGGTTCGACCAAGGACGGATGGGACACTCCCGTCGCAAGCCGACGAGGTTGGGCACGAATATGCCAAGACTCAGGGAGCTAGAAGGACTCCGCGGGCCAGGGCATGGTGCAGAAGATCATCGAGGAGACTCCATCCAGGAGAGGATTGCGAGGTCCAAGTCATGGGCAGCATGGGCACCTGGACTGAAGGCAGCGCTGGTGGTGGCGGTGAGAGAGGCACTGGAGAAGGGGGATCCTCAGCTGAGGAGGATGGACCTCAACGCCTGGCAGAAACATCTCCTCAACGGGCACTTGCCGTATAGCAGAGAATGCAGGGCCTGTGTCGTCGCTGCCTCGAAGAGCAAGGCCCACAGACGTGTCCCACACCCGGATGCATATACTCTTTCGATCGACACTGCAGGGCCATTCGAAGCGGCGGAAGATCAGCTCGGGAAGGGGCGCTACCTGCTTGTGGGCGTCTATCTGGCTCCGGTAACCAAAGATGGACAATCGCTCATTCCGATTAACGAAGAGGATGAACTTCCAGGAGCCCTTGGAGATGGACCGGAGCTGACGGTGGTCGAGACGGAAGAGGAAGGGGGTTTGCGAGAAGAGTGGCCAGGGTTGGATGACGAGAAGGCCTGGATGGAGAAGGTTGAGGCTGAGAGAGACTTTCAAGTCAAGCAGATCCTGGTCGTTGAGGTGCTGGAGAACCGAGGAGGACCAGCAGTGGTCGAGGCGGTCGGAAGAATGGCAGCCAAGCTCGACTTCTTGGGGCTCCCAGTCAAGCGACTCCATTCGGATCGCGCGGGGGAGTATCAATCCCGAGCGTTCCACAAATGGTGCCACGACAGAGGCATCATGAGAACCTTCAACGACGGCGACAACTTCAAGGGAAATGGCCGTGCAGAGAACGCGATCGCTCAGGTGAAACGTGGTGCACGAACCCTCCTCATTGCGGCCGGCTTGGACGAGAGTTTTTGGTGTCATGCGGCCAGACATTGGGCAGAGGGGCGCTTGAGGCGCCAGCTGGAGTCGATGGGGTGGAAAAGGCGGGAGTTGGCCCCGTTCGGTCAGGTGGTCTGGGCAAAACGGAAGTACTACAGCGACCGGCAGAAGTACCTCTCGACGACTCGCACCCAGGTTCGGGTGTTGTGCCCAGCGGTGACGATGTCAATGACGACTCCGGGTTATCTGGTTCAGGAGATCGAATCTGGCAAGATGTTCCACACCGGAGACATCATCCAGGTTGGGGAGGCCCCTGCTGAGTTGGAGGTTCCGGAGAGGGAGGCCGGCTTCATCCACGAGGTTGATGACCGAGAGGAAGTGGACCAGCCCCGAAAGAGACCTGGGCGAGTGAGGAAGTGCATGAGACTCCTTCAGGAACCTGCTGAGGGAATTCAGGCCGTAGACTGGGGGGAGCTGCATCACCGAGGAGCCAGGCACCTAGCCCAGGAGTTGACCCTCCTCGAAGAGGACGAAGGGGAGATTGTCAACGAGAGGTTCATCAAGATGCTGACGGCAGAGGTGGAGGAGATCGCAGAGAAGGCGATGGTCCAGGGGCGACAGGAAGAGACAGCCCGTTTGATAGAAGCAGAGCAGGCGCGAGGGGAGGGGCAGGAGTTTCTCCAAACCAGAATGGTCGGCCTAGCTGAAGTCAGAAAGAACCTGGAGGAGTGGAGACCTTCAATGGTGGAGGAGTACACCGCCTTGATCACGGAATCAGAAGCGGTGGAGCCCATCGACCGAGATCGGACGGACCAGCTGAAGACCGAGGCGGAAACCCAGGGAAAGGACTTTGACCTCGTCCCGGCGAAGGCCATCTTCAGCCGAAAAGCTGGATCCGGACGACATAAGTGCCGAGGCGTGGCATGTGGGAACTTCATGAACGCCAAGAGCACGGAGTCGACCTTTGCATCCGGAGCGAGTGGAATTGAGGTGAGGATGCTGATCAAGCTGGCGGCAGTCAACCAGTGGTCCCTGGCGACACTAGACGTCAAGACTGCTTTCCTCAACGCCCCTGCTGCACATGAGCGAGGCACAGTGATCGTACAACCGCCAAGAATCTTCCAAGAGGCGGGGGTGTTGACGAACCCCAAGGAGTTGTGGCTGGTGAAGAAAGCACTCTACGGGTTAGTGACTTCTCCTCGTGATTGGTGTGACCATCGGGACGGGAAGATCAAGGACTTCCGATGGGACCGACAAGGAAAACCAGTCCGAGTGCAGGCCACCCCTCAGACAGACATCTGGTTGATGCAGGAGGAAGATGAGAAGGTTGGATGGAGGACGAAGGGAGCACTGGCGACCTACGTGGACGACGTCCTCATGGTGGGTGAGGAGGACATCATCCTGGGATTCATCGAGCAAGTGAAGACCCATTGGAAGATTGGGGAACCAGAGTGGGTGATGGAAGGACGGGAGCCTGTGAGATTCCTGGGGATGGAGGTGGAGAAACGTGGGGTCGACTATGTCATCCACCAGCAGGCTTACATCACCAACCTGTTGAGCGAGTACGACGAGACCGGAAGAGGGGCTCTTGGTCAAGTCCGAACTCCCGAGGAGGAGGAGCAGCCGACGGCGGACCAGGTCCTCCAGGCTCAGAAGGAGACGGGAGAGCTGTTGTGGGTGGCAGGAAGATCACGACCTGACCTGTCACTGGGAGTGGGCATTATGTCCCAGTGGGCGTCGAAGAGGCCGGCACAGGTGATCAAGATCGGAAAGCAGATTCGAGCCCACCTCAAGGAGACTCTGGAGGAAGTCTTGGTCATGTCGGCCGACGACGGTAGGATCCGGGAGAATGTTAACAGCGATGAGAAGACCTCGATCAGGATGGTGGACATCTACACGGACGCCTCCTATGGGTCGTCGGAGCTGAAGAGCATTTCAGGAGTTGGAGTCTTCGTCGGAGGAACTCCAGTTGGGTGGCAGACGACACGGCAGCCGTTCATCACGCTCTCGACCGCTGAAGCCGAGTTGATGGCGATGCTGGAAGGACTCATCGCGGGAAGATCTACGGCAGCCTTATTGGAGGCAGTGGTGGAAGAGAAGGCGGAGGTGAGGCTTCACTCGGATTCAACAGCTGCCATAGCCATCGCGACAGGAACGACATCTTCCTGGAGGACGAGACACCTCCGAATCAGAGCAGCTGGGCTCACCGAGGCAATTCGAGAGAAAGAGATCACCTTGGATCATGTGTCTGGGAAGGTCCTCGTTGCGGATGGCTTCACCAAGCAACTCACGGGACCAGCCTTGGGAAGGTTCAAGGAGGCCCTGGGGCTGAAGGGAGCAGAGAAGAGGCCGGTGGAGGTCAAGAAGATCGAGGTGCACAAGGGAGTTGAACCCGGCTTCACCAGGGGCATCGGACTGCTGGTAGCTGCAGCGAGTCTACTGGGGAAGGTGGAGGCGGCGACGGAAGAACAGAAGGAGACCACTGGGGAATGGTGGATCGTGGTTTTGATCACAGCGGCCATCGCGGTCTTGGTGGACATTGCGTTCCGTGTGGGGACATCTGGCATCCAACGGTGGTTCAAGCCCAAGGAGGAGATCAAGGTGAAGTTGCTCCACCCGGAGGCACGGCTTCCCACGAGAGGATCGGACCAGGCGGCAGGGCTAGATCTTTACTCCACCATTGAGACGTTGGTTCCCCCTGGCGAGAGCGTGTTGATCAAGACTGGTCTGGCGGTCGAACTCCCAGCCGGGACGTATGGCAGGATTGCTCCGAGGTCCTCTTTGGCTATCCGGGGCATTGAAACAGGAGCCGGGGTAGTGGACCGAGACTTCAGAGGAGAGGTGAAGGTGCTGCTGAGAAACTGGTCCGATGATGACCTGAGAGTCTACAAGGGGGATCGAGTGGCTCAGTTGGTCGTGGAGCGCATCCTGGAGGTGGGGGTGAACCACGTGGAGGACCTGAGCGAAACCCAGAGGGGGAACAGGGGTTTTGGGTACTCGGCCCACGAAGAAGCGTACCCCTGGGCAGAACCGGACGACCCGCTCTACCAGAGACAGGAGCTCGGGACGAGCACTCCAGTTGATCGTATCTCTATGAGAACGATGAGGGTGAGATCGAGTCCCGAGAACGTGACGGCGGCGTCACCTGGGCAGACACCGGCAGTGGACCGAGATGGACCACCTTCTGACCGACCTGAACCAGCAGGACACCCTGGAGGAGCCGATCCGGGACTATGGCATCGAAGCACCCAGACCGGGGGAGGACAGAGCATGGAGTGGAGTGCTGACCATCAAGGAGGCCCTAACGATCTACGAGTACCCGATTCGGAACAGCGACATCGGGGAGCCTATGACGCCGAGTCGGAGGAGAGACGTCGAGCCGAGTTGGGACTGGCCATGAGCGCTTGGGACCGCTACATGATCCGAAGGGGACCTCGGCGAGACTATGGAGGGACATGGGTGATGCTGGATAGCGATGGAGTGCACTTCGTAGCTCGTGACCCCGGGGATGGACGGGGTGTGAACCGAATGGCCGAGTCAGCAGCTCAGGGAAGTGGAGAACAGCCTCAAGAAGGAGATGGACAGCAGGAAGAGCAGCCTCGACAAAGCCTTCCGAGGGTGGAGCCGCTGAGGTTGGTCACCACGGTGGAGACAGGGATCGTGCTGGGGAAGTGGTGTCATGAGGAGGAGATGGCGGACTACCTGAGAACACCAGGATTCCAGAAGGGCCTCATCAACGAGGCAGTGCGGAGGATCATTTCGATTCCGCCGCGAAGGACATCGGCCAAGGACTCGTGGGACTACCTGATCGACTTTGAAGGTGAGAAGAAGATCGGGATCCGAGTCCACTACCAGGACAGGAAGAAGCTGTATGACTTCGAGGGTGACACGCTCCTCGAGGAAAGGTGGGGAAAGTGGAGGATGACGGTGGCATGGCACATCGCATCCAGAAGGGAAACGATCCTCGTCAACGAGAGGAACGGAAAAAGGGGCTGCCTTCTGGATTTGTGGTGGGGCTACACCGTCTTCAAGACGGTCTGAAGGGCTTGAGCTTCCCCAACATGGGGATTTTGGTGTGAAGTGCACCACCTTTTCGCTGAGGCAGCGAAGGGGGAGTGCAGGTGCACAAATAGAGAAGTGTACCAAGTTTTCATGAAGGTTGGAGGTGCGATGACACGCACTAAAGTCAAGAAGTGTACCAACGAGGGGTGAATCTGAAGCCCTTTTTTGATCCAGCGGCAGAAAAGGTGCCGCGCTTTG